AAAAAAAAAAAATTGCAGGAAGGCCAAGTGGTGGTGGGGGAGGGTTGAAAGCTAAGAACTGCAACACCGAAAATCAATCCTGCGAGCTGGGCTGCCGAGTGCTCGGAACAAGGAAGGGAATCCAGCAAAGCGCTCGCAGTCATTCCACAGCCACCCTCCCCTTTCTCCTCGCTCCGCGCCCGTGGCTCATTTGGCTTCCCTCTGCCACCGAGCGATCACATACATTATTTCCCCCAAGATAACACAATCAAACTTGTATTTACCGACATCCTCTCTTCGCAGCCTGTTTGAGATTTGTTTTAATAAATAAGTGTTTTATGTGAATGATGTAGTAATTGAAACGGGCACCCATTTTCCCCCCTTCTTACTGCGGGAGGTTCCTCAACCCCAATCTGGTTGGAAAATAAAACGCTTTGTCTCCACAACCACCCCCCACCGCACCCCCACCCGCTCTCAGTGTGTGTTTTATACGTGTGTGTATCTCAGCCCCTACAGTAGCCAAGAGAAAGCAGCTAGCCAATGAGAAAGCCCAGTTTCATAAAAGCTGCTCTCTGATTGGCCCGATGCGAAAGGGCATTGGGAACAAAGAAAAGTCCCTTTCAGGTATAGAGGCTTAGAGCTCCTTTTGCTCCACTCCCTCTGTGTGTTGTGTTTCAGTCCTGATTTCAGTGTTGCAGAACAAGCTTGTTGTGTGTGTGCACCAGGGGAATTTTTGTTTTCTGGTGTTTTTTTATTTTAATTTTTGTTTTTATAAAAATACACAGGACAGTCTGTGACAGTTGATGGTCCATCTTCTTTAATAAAAAATTTGTTGAAGAGATTATAATTTCCAAAATAAAGCGGCTGCAACCAAACACATTCAATGCAGTTAGAAGGAAAAGGTCAACTCGATCCAATACAGACCGTAAGTACGGTTGCGTGGTGTGTCTCTCTATAGCACTTAGCGGGGACTTCATGCAGGGGAATGTGCGACTTTTATGCATTGAAATGAGGAACTAGTTACAGGGCTTGGCTTTAGCATTTAGAACAACCCAAGAAGGGTGAATTTTATTCAGTGGAGGGTGAAGCATTTGTAACTTCCTCACACAAATGAAGCTTGACCGGGCACTCGGGGTAACTTATAGTAAATTACCTTTGGGGCTCTAACCCAAAGGAGGAGAAAAAGCGACACAGTTACATATCCTGCTCCGCAGTGCCAGTTCTCTGGCGCACCTTCCTCTCCCTCTCCCGTCCTAGCTGGACAGACCCCTCCCCAGCCCAGCCAGGAAAACGGGGCAAAAGCAGAACAAGGCGATTTCTGTCTCCCGTCACTGCCTGGTGCCCAATAATTTAACAGCAAATAAGGGAATATTCAACCATTACGTGTAATGGTTATAATTACCATTTCCCACTTTCTTAAAAAAATCGAGCAGCAAAAACAACATTAAGAGACAGAAAAAAAAAAAAAGCCCCACCCAACTGAAACATACCCACAAATAGTAACAATGGTGTGTATTACAGGACCCAGTTTAGGAGCTAGCAAAATGTATTCTTTGTTTAATACATGAAGGGGTCCCTAAAATCCCAGTAGTTTGGAGGTGCCCCTCCCCTCCCCCAGGCGCCTGCGTCCCTGGCCTCTTGGGAAAGGCTACAAATTGGAAAGGAGTTGAGGAAAGGTTTATAAGGTGTTTCTTTAAAACATCTGCTTTGCTCTTGTGCTCATTACATTTCACTCCTTCCTAGCTTCCGAGATCCTGGGTTTCAGAGAAATGTTTCACATTCATAACTTGTAGCTTCGCCCACTGCGGGGGGCGGGGGTGTGCAAGGGGAGGGGACACCTTCAGCTTTTTTCTAAAGACCAGATCAGTATTTTCTTGATACGCTTGTCACCATTTTTGTTCTCACGACAACCAATTGAGCCCTTGATCCTCACGTGATGTGAAAGGCTCGACTGTAACAAAATCGCTGCTTTTAGGTGGTTGGTTGCCGCTCACCCGGCCCATCCCCCTCCGGCCCGGCGTCTCCGGCTCGGCGACTCTCCGCTTCCAATCCATCAACAATTCATTACTGCTTTTAGCTTCCAAACGCCAGCTAATTAAAAATACTAAGCCAAGCTCCGAGGCCATCTGACGAAACACAGGAGGGGGTGGGCGAGAGGTGTAGGCGAAGGGGATGCGTGTGTAAGAGGGGGAAACTGTCCTGGAAAAGGTCGCCTTAAAAAATCCTGTTTTGACTCTAATTATCGAATTACCACATGACTGATCGGCGTGAGCGGGAGGGCTCGCCCCCCCGCCCCGAGCCTATACTAGGAACACGGTTCCTTTTTCTTAAAACAACACGAAACAGGAAAACATCACATCCTCTGGGTTTCGGAGACCGAGCCCATTTCACACGCCGCCGTCCCCTCCGGCGCCCGGCCGGGAGAGGCTGCTCCGAATGGGTCCCCGGCTCCCCAGCCCTGCTCCCTCCTCCACACCTGTCTTTTCCTCCTCCGGCCCAGCTTCTCTTCCCACCCTTTCCTCCTCCTCCTCCTCCTCCCATTCTTCCTCCCCTCCTTGTCTCTTAAGTTAGTTCGAGAAATCAAATCTGTCAGGACAGGCGGAAAAATGCCACTTCCCGACTAACAGGCGGAATCCAGCCCAGATTTTCAGTCCTTTCTTCTTATTCTTTCTTCCCTTTCACTAATTTGTCCGATGTTAGCACATTCTGTCTTGTTACTAGCGGACGCCTGTAGGTTTGCTACATGGGATCATTACTTACTGATCATGGTGACTCTGAAGTCTGGGACTGAAGGCGGAATGAGAAGTTGGGAAAACTTTTTTCTCTAAGATCTTTTTTTTTTTTTTCCTTTTAAACCCATTATTCTCGATGCTTGTTAAGAGGAAAAAAACCGTTTGGTGCTTCTGTTGTGAATGTGAAACATTATCTTCCAGCTGTACAGTGACACATTTTTTTAAGGAGAAAAGGACTCCTGATCTGTTTGCCAAAAGGGGGGGTGGGGAGGTGGAATAATGTTATCAAGTGATATTCTGGCTGAGATGTGTTATTTGGTTTCTTCCTTCTTGATCATTTGGTGTTTAAGTAAAATGAGGCACAGGCTTGTTTGCCGAGTGGAGTGGGAAATGCATTTTGATTTGCTGGCCTAATTAAAAAATGATAAAGGATTAAAGGTAAGCAACGTTTATGTGTGTGTGTGTGTGTGTGTGTGTGTGTGTGTAGATATATATGTATATATATATATATATTTTTTTTTTTTTGACAATTCACTGTTAAAAAGGGGCTGATCCCTTTAAAAACCATTTTAACTGCTCTTTGTCAAACACACACGCATTTGCGGTCATTGAGGCCACCTTGGCAGATCACTTACAGTGTATGTCTTAATCAGTTTTCCTGTACAGTCAGTAGCACCATATTTAACAGACTGAACAAGTCTGTGACCTAGGGATCGGGTTAGAATTTTTAGATGTATTTTTTTTCCTCAAAAGGCAGATATTTAATCTTTTACCCAACACTGTCTTTTATAGAGAGAAATGGTTTTATAGACATGTGTGTATATATTCCAAAAAATTGTATAAACTGTTTTGAGAAAAGAGGATAGACAGGAGGTATGTATGTGTGTGGGGAATTATTGGTTGTTTTTTTGTTTTGTTTTGTTCCTTACTGGGAACAAAAACCAGATTGCCCTGAGACAATTTGTTAAGAAGAAATACTAAAATTAGAAATAAGAAAATTTAGCAACATCATTTGAAAACCAGTCTCAAAGAACTTCCAGGGTCTGGTCTTTTAAACTAGAAGGGCTAGTACATGCTCAAGGACGATTAATGCCATGTTCTCTCAACTGAGTGTTCAGGCTGTGTTTCTGGAGCTGAGGTATTACATTTACCAGACAAAAATCCTAAATTAAAAAAAAAAAAAAAAAAGGCCACCAAAACCTTTCTGTATTTGAATCAGATCCTTAAGATATTTTAATGCTTTTAAAAAATTGATTATCTTTGTGCTGTGGATAAAAGAATTTTCTTTTTAGCTAATGTAAGATGCTTACTGTCATGGGTGCGTTTTGGGGGTCTGGTTATTTTCCTTTAAACCTGATTTTGGACTGTGGAGACAATACACCAGCCACCTCACTCTGTCCCTCCCTGTACCCTTTCCTGACTCCCCAGTATTAATAGTTCTTTATTCTGGTAACACCCAGACAAGAAATATTCGGCTTTTCCCCCCTTCACAGGAAAAGGTGCACCTGGACTGAAGGGTATAAAAAATCCCTGGACCACATCCCTGAGGAGGAAAAAGAAGAGGAACATTGGAAGATTTGTGTTTTGTTTTGTTTTCTCTAAGAGAAAGTCCAGCGGAGCTAAACGAATGTCCCCTCATCTCCAAAGGAAAGTTCATCGGATTTTTATTCTAGAGAGCTCACCTTCAGGATGTCAGTGAACACTTCGACTGCAGGAAAAGGTGTGGATCCAAATACAGTTGATACTTATGACAGTGGTGATGATTGGGAAATCGGGGTTGGAAATTTAATAATTGATTTGGACGCCGATTTGGAGAAAGACAGGCAGAAATTTGAGATGAATAATTCCACCAACACCACTAGCAGCGGTAACTCTAAGGATTGTGGAGGTCCGGCCTCCGGTGGGGCCGGTGCTACCGCAGCCTTAGCTGATGGCCTGAAATTTGCTTCTGTTCAGCCCTCCGCTCCCCAGGGGAATTCACACAAAGAGACCAGCAAATCAAAAGTGAAAAGGAGTAAAACTTCTAAGGATGCTAATAAATCTCTGCCTTCTGCTGCCTTGTATGGGATTCCCGAGATCAGCAGCACTGGCAAGAGGCAGGAAGTCCAAGGGCGCCCTGGAGAGGCAACTGGCATGAATTCAGCGCTGGGTCAAAGTGTGAGCGGCGGCGGCGGCAACCCAGGCGGCAGCAGTACCGGCACCAGCACCTCGG